GTGCGGTCTTTAAAATTATGCATGTCTATATCTGGATGCACTGCCCAATTCCCCGTGGGAACCAGGATGTTGACTTAGGGTCCCATCCAGGTGGTGAATTTCTCTGTGAATATCTGGGATGACAGAAGGTATGATAACAACCTTCCACCAGAAACTGGGTGGGAGGAAGGAATTCTCCCAGTGGGTCCGATTGTAACTCCCTGTGAGGTAGGTCTCCTTATCTTGCAGATACAAGAGTAATTATTATTCAAGGTCTTTTGCTCTTTTGTTTAGCTGTCAGTATCTCAAGCAAGCTGTAACCTGGTTGTAAGCTGTTCTCTGTGTGAGCAAGCAGTGAAAGCTAAGAATTAATTTCTAGTGAAAGCAATGAATAATTTTTATTAAAAGCTTGACCAGAGCAACTCCATCTTATAAGTTGGCTCTATCTTAATATATCTATCTGAATATATATATATGTGCATTTATTTCCTATGATAATGACTCTTCTTTGGGGCCCCTGCCTTATGTATCTAGTCACTGGATCTAACGCCTACCTCAGTTTGATATCCTCAAATGATTTATTATGTCATTCAATGTTTCTCATTCTTAATGGAAGATTTAATGTCCTGCAAATTACTCTATCCTACTCAGAAATAAAAGTTTTGAAGATGGGTTTAATTTTTTAATTTAACAATTTTCTCTACTATTATTTTAAAACACACACACACACACACATATACATACATACACACATATATATCACTTAATAGACAAATTTTCCAAATCTGTTTTTTTCCCATAGAAGGCAAATTTTAAATTTCATTTAAACTTTCTGTTAGAGAGCAACCTAATCAGATGCTTTCTTGTACTACCATGTGGTATTATGGGAAAATATTAACAATTTTTTTTGACCAACAGAAATTTTGGTCTTCTGCTAAATTTAACACATCGTAGCCAAAGATTGAGAAAATTAACATTTTTGAAGCTTTTGGAATAATTCTTTGCCCTTGTCTTTGAATTCCTATGCCCATCATTGCTACACCATTATTTAGATCAGTTAATAGGGCTAGCAGGTGGTGTATTGGTTAAGGCGCTAGACTCCCACATGGTTGACCATGGTTTGAGTTCCAGACCTGGCAGCTTGAAACTCATGGTGGGCACATGTGAGTGCATGCCCAAAATCCCAAGAGGAGAATGGAGGAGAAGAGATTGCCATGTGGCCATCCCCCCGGGGGGGATTTCTCACTTCCTGTCTCTGTGTCTTTCTGTCTCTCCAATGAGTACACACGCCCTATAGCAAAAATCTTTAAAAAACCCAAAAGATCAGTTAAGAGCATTCTTACCTCATGATCTACTAACTCAAAATCATGTTTTTTAACTAACAATACTTATTTTATGTTAGTCAATTTGTGTTTCCATTTTTGAACTTAGTAAACACTTATTGATTAGATAGTATATGCCAGAAACCGTTTTAGAAAGTAGATATTTAATGGTGAAGGAGATGGAGTTTACTTTCTAGTGGGAAAGAGAAGCAACGAGAACAATAATTACAATGAAGACAGCTACTTCTCTGATGCGAGTAAGCCAGGAAGCACAAAAGTACATTCTTCTTAATTAATATTGGATTTTATTTTCAGGTTCTTCCCATAAGATAAAGCATAAAAATAACGAGACAGCTGTATTAGGAGAAAATGTGACAATTTTTTGCAATTTGACAACTCCAGAAGATGTTGTGCAAATTACCTGGCAGAAGATCCAAGACTCTTTGCTACAAAATATTGGCACGTATAGCAGTAAATATGGAGAAAAGATTCTGCCACCATACGTAGATAGACTGCGCTGTGAGATCATCGAACCCGACTCGTCCTTCATAACCATTCACCAAGTGACATTTGAAGATGAAGCCTGCTACAAGTGTCTATTTAATGTGTTTCCATATGGCAGCCATGGAGGACTAATCTGCCTCAGCATCATAAGTATATAAATGTCTTCTGGAGGGTCAAATCACAGGGGCAAAAATCATGGGGGTGTGGGCTTTCAAGGTTGGTGTCCAGAGAGAGAACAACACAGGATAAGAGAGAGATCATCTCAGTCAAGTCTTCAGTTCTACAGAAGGGAATTATGGAAGGCAGTATGATGATGAGACTTGCCCATTTTCAGTCAGTGCAGGAGCAACCATTGGCATTTAGCTCTTCACCCTCTCATTCAACTTTTTACTACATACACTGGCCTTTATGCAGTGGGCATAATTCATGAAGAGCGTTGGGATTTTCTCCCTAGAGAGAAGAATAAAATAGGAAAAAGATAGAAACAGATAGAGAGGCAGTAGATAGATCAAGGCTCTGTGAGAATAAGGATTTCCCAGTCTTCAAATGAACAAAAATGTTACAGGGATACTGACAGTGCCACAGCATTCTCTCAGCCTGTTGCTGTGAAGTATAGGTGGGCCAGCCCCTTGGCCTAGTGGTTATGGGAGAAGGATCCCATGTGGCTGACTATGGAGTTTGAATCCCAGCTCCAGTGACTTGAAAATCACGCTGGATGCATGTGCACATGTGCCCCAAATCCCAAGAGGGTCGAGAAATGGATGAGAAGGGTTTGCATTGTGACCATGCCCCATCAGGGTGGGAGGGTGCTTTCTCCTTCTCCCTCTCCCTCTGTCTCTCTGTCTCTCTCTGACAAGCACACGCATTTTCTGGCAAAACGTTTTTAAAGATTAGAAAATGTTTTTAAAAGTTTAAAATACAATCACACATTATTTAGTGTTGCAGCCATGGAGTGGAATGCTTCTGCTGTACTACCATAGCTGACCAAAGTCGTATAACACTCGGCTTAAAACACAAACACCACAGAAATGCAGGTAGATGGGGTATTTCAAATAGGTTGTGAAATAGCATACCCCAAATGAGTAAAAAACACATCTCTAAGGTGGTGTTCTTTGTTGGGAAAGATGACTATATCCTTGGTATTATCCTTGGTTTGAAGTATGTATCTTTGCATATGTATGCATGCTTTGAAAATCCATGTTGTGCCCCACAAAGATGTACGATTAAATGTAAATAAGAAATATAAAATAAAATAAAAAAGAACATAAACACATCGTGCACTGGTACAAAAATATTTTCTTTCTTTATATACTTATTCTATATGTTTTTTTCTATTTTAATTTTTAAAACTTTTTAATTTTCTAGAGGGCATGCATGCTCAACAGAGAGAGAGAGAGAGAGAGAGAGAGAGAGAGAGAAAGTATACCCTCCCCATGAAGGAATGGTCATGCCAAAATCTCTTCTCCTCCATTTCTCCCTCCTTTCAGGATTTTGGGCATGCACACACAGCACTGGTATGTTTTTTAGGTCTCTGGGTCTGGGACTTGAATGGTGCCATTGGCATATAAGATCCAGCTGCCTTAACCACCATACCACCAGTTTGCCTAAATTTTTTACTTTTTAAACTTTTTTGTTAAAAATGCAGACACAATTACACACATTAGCTTATGCCTACACAGGGTGAGGATCACGAATATCACTGTTCTCCACTGCCACATTTTGTCCTACTGGAACACATGCAGACTGCTGCCAGCATAACATACATTCTCTTCAACAGTAAACGTTTCTTTATAATAAATAGAAGGAAAACATTCTAAAATAATACTATAAAGTATGGTCTAGTATAACCTAGCTGCTGTAGCGCATGTGGAATGCTACCACTGAGTATGGCATGCTGAGGCCACTTGGGATCCAGCTTTGATGCCTGGCCCACCCTGAAAATCAGTAGTAGTGGCACATGCTGACAAACACCACCATGCCTGTGGTCCCAGCTACTCTGGAGACTGAGGCAGGAGGCTCATGACACAGAGAGACCCTGTGCAAAACATCACACACAAGGACGTGTACAAATTGTATAGTCAAGACCAAACCAGCAACATAACATTTGTTATCATTATCAAATATTATGTACTGTACATGACTAATGTACTATACTTTTATACAACAGTTGCACTGTAGGCTTGTTTACACCGGCGTCACTGCAAACCCGTAACGTGCAACACTGTGACATTATAATGGCTATGGTGTCGCTAGGTGATGGGAATTTCTTAGCTCCATTATAATTTTATGAGATTACCATCATATTTACTGTCATTGACTGATGTCATGAGGCACATGACTTTATTAGGGGATTATGTATCTTTATGTATTATTTTATTATTTAAGTATATAATATATAATGTTAAATATAGTAAATGAACATAATATATATTCATATATATACATATATATATTATTCATATATGTGTGTGTGTGTGTGTGTGTGTGTGTGTGTGTGTGTGTATTCCCCCCCAGAGGGAGTATGCACTCGCCAGAGAGAACGAGGGGAAAAAGTTACTCCATGGGGAGTGACCACACTGCAATCCTTCTTCTTTACTCCTTTCAAGATTAGGGGCATAATTGCACATGTGCCCAGCATGTTTCTCAAACCTCCAGGTCCAGGACTTGAACCACATGGTTGACTATGTGGGAACCAGAAGTCTAAACCACCAGGCCAAGAAGCTGGCCTCTATGATATAATTTTAGGTTGAAAGTTTAGACACCAATTGTTCCTCTCAAATTGGAGAGCCTGTGAGTAATTAAACGTGATATTGGGAGGTTTTGAAAATGTGGGAGAAGTAAGTGAGAAGGATCTGTTTTCGACATTTTGTATTCATATAAAATTTGGCGATCCAGTGCTTGATTCCATAGAAATCTACTGTGATGTGCTTTCATGTTTAATTTTTTTCTCCTTTTTTTTTTCCCCTCCCAGCTGTCTCTGAGTTAAGAACTGAACTCCGGTTTGATTCTGTCTCTAAAGGTTTTCTTAGCCTTATTAATTCTGCTATGGGAAAACCTGCTCCTCAGATATCTCTTTTCCCCTCACACGTTCTAATTCATCCACCAGAGGAATACCTTGCTCAGCACCCAAATAGCACAGTAACGGTCACTAAAATACACACCATTTCCTTGGACGCTGTGAGGTCCCTGGGACTGAAACACCTGATTGTGTACATGGATCATCCTCTAAGGAATGAAGAGAAGATCGTCCCTCTGCCAGTAAATCAAAACTGTAAGTAGACCAGTAAGTCAATAAGGGAAAATATTTACCTTATTTTAAAATTCAGTACAAGTGTTTGTGGCCATCTCTTTTGGGAAATGTAAACAATGTGGTACACATACATGGTTAGAAGGATGAAATAATGAAGGCTGTCTCCATTGCTGCTTCCTTGAGCAACTGCTCTTACTCGGCAAATTCCTAATTGGTCTCCTCTATATGCTCGCCACTGAATTTCTGTGACAATCCTTAACCATCTGGCTCATTTACACCTCCCTCACCTTTTGCTCTACCCTTTCCTCCCAGTATAGGTTTTCTTTCTACTCTTTTTTCTTTCTTCTTTTTTTGTTCTTTTCTTTCTCTTTCTTTTTCTTTCTTTTCTGCTTATCTATGCCACCTTCAACAGCTTGGCTAAAACTATTTCTTATTTCATCCACCATAAAGTCTTTTCTTAGCTTTTCACTTCCTGCCCTTCTTCCTTCCAAGTTCTGTCAGCTGCATTGATCTTGTTTCATAACTAGAGCTAAACAGGCTGTTCTAGTGAGTTCTCTGTTGTTTAATAATTCAATTCCTGAAACTGAGTGATTTATAAGAATAGATTTAGTTCATGGTTTTGGAAGTCCACAGTCAGGGGCCATATTTATTGGTGAGTCTATCTACAAGGTAGAGTGGTTTTTTTTTTTGGAGCGTTTTTTTTTTTTTTTTTTTGCTATAGGGTGCATGCGCTCGCCAGACAGACAGACATAAAGACAGAAAAAGCGAGAAGCAATCCCTTCTCCTCCATTCTCCTCTCGGGATCTTAGGCATGCACACACATACCCAGCATGAGTTTTAAGCCACCGGGTCCGGGACGTGAACCGCGTTGACTACGTGGGAGTCAACGTTTGTCTTAACTTCTGTTTCCCAAGTTTTTTTTTTTTTTTTTTTTTGGAGAAGTTTTTGCTATAAGGCACGTGCGTTCGCCAGACGGACAGAGACAGAAAGCGAGAGAGAAATCACCCCCCAGGGGGGATGGCCACACCACAATCCCTTCTCCTCCATTCTCCTCTTGGGATCTTGGGCATGCACACACAAGTGCCCGGCGTGAGTTTAAGCCACCAGGTCCGGGACTCAAACTGTGGTCAACTACATGGGAGTCCAGCAACATAGCCATTATGCTAACTGCTGGTCCCAAGGTAGAGCAGGTATTCACACAGTAAGGGCTAGAGCAAAGCAAAAATGCTCATGTGAGTCAGTGTCTGTGTCACCTTATAAACCTATGAGTACCCAGGAAGGAGGCCTTCCTGATGCCTAATTGTTTCCCAAATGCTCCATCTTTCAACATCATAATTAGATTAAAGCCTCCACCCTCTCAACACCATTACAATGGCTTGTAGATATCAATACATGAGTTCTGAGGGATACATTCAAATGACAGAACAGATCCTCTACTAGCTGAGCATATAAGAAAACTGCTAGACTTCCGAAATGTGCTGTCTCCTCCACTCATTCAAACTTTATAATAAAGCATCATTGATGTCTTCTGATGTTTCTATGTCTTGGACCAATGTGATTAAACTGTGGGGAAATTTTATTCTCACCACTTCCTTAAGTTTATGAAATCTGAAAATACATATTACGAAAAAGTACGTCAACAAGTAAAGTAGGTCTGCTTACTAAAGTCAGCTTATTTAATATTCTTACCCTATCCTTACCCCATAAATTTTACAAATGCTATTAAAATATAAGGCTGAGAATTAGATACCCTGAAGTTTCCTGCAAGCTCTGGCATCCAGTAAGATTCTGGAAAAGTAATTAGGTTGTACTTTTACATATGTACAACATAGGGAAAAAAGATATGCAGATAGACTATACTTTCTTTTTCTTTCTTTCTTTTTTTTTTTTTTTTTTGCTTCAGGGTGTGTGCACTTGCCACTGGGGTGCAGGAGAGGGAGAGAGAGGAAAAGTGAGAAGTTACCTCCCAAGGGAGATAGCCAAGCTACAATCCCTTCTCCTTCATTCTCCTCTTTTGGTTATACAAGCACATGAGCCCAGCATGATTTTCAAGCCTGGATCTGGGATTCGAAATGCTCAATTGGCCATGTGGAATTCAGCTGCCTTAACCTTTACACCACCTGCTGGTCCCATTATACTCTTTTTAAAATGTGCAATGAACTACCTGCTTTCTCAATATATATATATATATATATATATATATG